GTATGTAAATGTGTGTGGTGTGGTGTGGTGTGTGCATGTGTATGTCTGGTGTATAGGTGTGTGTAGTACGGTATAGAGTTACGCATGTGCATGTGTGTATGGTATATAGGTATGTGCGTGTATAGGTGCATGCAGTGTGTATGGTGTGTGCTTGTGGCGCAGGATGGTGTACAGATGTGTGTGACGTGGTATGTGGTGTATAGGTGTGTGTATATTATGAGGTATAGGTATGTGTGTGGTGTACAGGTATGTGTGGCACGGTGTGTGTATACAGTATGGTGTATAGGTGTGTGTGTGTGTGTAGGTGAGTGTGGTGCACACATACAGTGTAGTGTATAGATAGGTAAGGACATGTGTGCTGGGTGCATGTGTGTAGGATACATGTGTAGTGTACCTCATCCCAAGCACAATTCTTAAAAAGGAATGAAATGGACCCACGATAAATTTTTGCTGAGAGCAGAAGGGGAAGGATGAAAGGGCAGGAGGAGGAGAGGGGAAAAGGAAAGAGGAGAGCTCATGACTTCTTCCCTATTTACAAAATTCTATCATTTATGTTTTTGAGTGAATTAGACCAATTCCCCTTAAGAGAACTGAACATTTCACCAATAGGACTTTATGGCCTTCTGTGTGACTGCATACAGTGTCCAACCCTTGTGCATGCTTGGGATCCAGTGGAGTAATCTTAAGTGATCTAATTACAACGTACTGAACTCCTTAACACTTTTTTCTTTAAATATGGCTCCAATGTTTCATATTTATCTACAATAGCACATTAGTTGTTAATTTGAGGGGAGCTGGCTTCTAAGAAAAACCTAGTTAGTATCTTCCTCTAGGAAAATTGGAGGGAAAAATTATATTTTGAACACCTTTAAAAGAATACAACTAAAAGATAAAACTGGCAGGGGCCTCTTTTGTGAAACAATGAGAAATGAGAAAAAGAACAAATTTTTACTTGGTGTCTATGAGGTGTCAAACAATGTGCGTATACTCTTTCATTCAATCCATCTAGCAGTAACTTCTAAGAGTAGGTACAACCACTAACCCAGCTCACAGGTTATAAAACAAGAAATCAGTTAATTAGCCTAGCCCAGGGTCACGCTGCTAATTAGAGCTGAATACACACTCACTTTCCTTTATTCCAAAGCACATACTGTTTACACTTTATCACACTAACAGTTTCCCAAACCAGGATGTTGGGGATGAACTGTAAAACTGTGAACTGTCCTCATTTGGATACTTTTTAGTTTTTACTATTGGCTTCTGAAACAGATCATCTTCCTCATATGCCTCTGCTATGTAAGCACCGGGCTCAGTGGTGGAGATATGGCCTCTATTACCTCAATTAACAGCCACTCTATTTCTAAGAAAAGGAAATTTTAGCTCAAAAACCATGCATCCACCCTGACCGATATGCCAAATCTCACGGCTAATTTTCCTTTTAGCACTTGCAACTGAGCTTTCTCAGTTCTCAGTAAATGAGAACCTAAGGAAGTAGATGATTTTGGCCGCTGAGCAACAGATGGGGCAAAATGAAAGGGGAAAAAGATGCAGGAAGAAACTGAAACTCGGGAAGTGATGAAGATTTGCGGAAGCAAGTGACAACAAGAAAGACAAGGAAGGAAAAGAGGAGGGAGAGTGGTCGCCACAAAGCACAACGAATTCATAATATTATTGTGGCCATGAACAGAGTTTTCTTAGTGATTAAGTGACCCCTACTTTCCTCCCTCTAAAATCACTTCTCAGTTTGCAGGCTCATGACTCCATCTGTGTAGTTGCTGGTTCACTGTTACACACTGTCCCAGTGCTGGAAAACAAGTCATCCGCCAGTTCAAATATTATTGACTCATCGACTGAATTCTTTTACTAGGAGTGCATGTTGCGATGAAAGGCTGGGCTCTTGTTGTTTTAAGAAAACTTACTCGAGCTGTACATGCAACCGTATTATTCTCTAACTATCATTTTTCAGTTTGTTATCGTGAAGGTATAAAATTTATGGTGGTATATAGTTTTCTATCAATAAGTATTAAGGTTATGAGGGAAACGCAGTCACTCATACAGGGGGGTTTTGAGAACTGTTGTGAAAATGCAGACATCCACTTGCCTCCTCTCAAACCAAAAACAGGCTTTATTTCCGTAGATTAAATTAATCTCTCACACTCATGAGCATATCCTTCAGGAGTTCCTTTCATCTGGACAACTCTAAAAATATGGGCTGCAATCAAGGGTCTGGTTGCAGAATAAGCCAACTGCCCAGCAATATTCGCTTAGAAGGGAGGACGATGAAGCGGGCTTTGTTGGTTCCGTCATTCATACTTACTCACCATAAGTTTTAATAAATTATACCAGCAGTAACAATGGCAGTTAACACTTAGTAACTTATTACATATCAGAAACTGTCCTGAGTACTTTGAAATACCTCATGTTTTCCTATTCGATACAATAATTCTGTAAGGTAAGTACTGTTAATAACTCCGTTTTATGGATGAGGAAGGTGAGGCAGAGCTTCCGTGGGAAAAGGAACTTGCCCAAAGTCACACACAGGGTTTTATTAGCTAAGCTGGGACTCGAATACGAGATTTTCTGACTTCAAAGCCCAGCTACACTACTTTACTGGCACCACTCGGAGGTAGCAGAATTGTCAGAGTCCTTCCAAGACAACTCCTAGCTCTTTAGGACAGACTTTCCATCCGAGCTAAAGAAAACAGGTCAAAGGAAAAGTCATCTATCTCCACTTCAACTAGTACTTCACTACGCGTGTTTCAAGCCTCAAAATGAGTTTTCAAGAAAACACGATCCTTCTTGGAAGGAAAATTACATGTGAAATCTTTATATGTTTTTCACAGTTAAAACACATTCAAATATGTCTTCCTCGGCTTTATATTACCCTCTCTGTCCACATCCAATCGAAACAACGAGGACCAGTTTCCATTAGCCTCAGGTAGGTAGATCTTTTTTGTGGCAGAGCTGACAAAGCCCTCATCTGGCTTTATGACTACCTCACACCTCAAAACAATTGAGAAAGTATTTTTTTCCTTTAGAAAAATTTGTTGTATAACTCCTCAGACTTGCCTATGAAGTCAGATTCCTGACTTTTCCATAAATAAGTATTTACATACAGACAAACACATAAAGATAGACAGAAATAATGAAGAGGAATGTTCAAAATCCCACAGTTCAATATGACTATGAGTCAATATTTTGGAATATGCAGAGTCTGGACTTCTGCTGAAAGTCAACAATGGAGGGTAACCCCCTCTTTCTTTTAGGACCTGTTCTACGTGGTCATGTAATGCTTACGTCTGTGTTTCATGCATATTCCACTGATCCTAATGATAGTATCTATCACGCATTGAGTACTTACTCTTTTCAAAGCAGATTTTATGTTATGAAATATTCATAATCAGTATACATTTTAATAACAATAAACTTTTGGACCTATATGTCATTCATGTTCCCTGAATCTTTAAATTTCCACCTTGTACAAGTCTCTGCTTTGTTTTTAAGCATGCCCTTTATTTTAATGTGTGTTGACTGTCCTTAAATAAGACCAAAGAACCCATGAGTGCAAAGCCCAACAATGTCTTATCTTTCCATCAGGGTTACTGACTGACCCAGTTTTAGGGAGATACTGTTCTCTTGTCTCTCACCCTTCAAGACACATACAGGTCTTCTAAGATTTCTCTGCCCAAGTGTCAGAGAAGAACACAGATACAACACCAAAATATCTGAGAGCAATCTGACACAGCCAAGCCATAAGCATTAAAATGCTTCGTAGTATCTCATTTAGTTTTTAAATTCATAATCATTTTGTTTGCATTCTAGTCTATAATATATCCACGTTTGCTTCACTGTAAACATTAAGAGGTTCTTCCTCAGAATCTCTAAGTAAAAGTGCACAGGGCATGAATATGCCCTACATCTGCGCTCAGGTTCACAAAGCCCTCAGCACGCCATTGTACTCCTGGTGCTACAAGACCTCAGTTCGGAAGCATGGAGTGTATGTCAATTTTTATTTTAAGGGACAATGACCTGCAGCTAATTGCATGACCTGGGATAAATAACTCTATTTCCATTTAATTGTCTGACACAAATGTCTACCCCTCATTCTCCCAGAGCAAATATAAAACGACTTTTCCTGAAGTGAATCATTTCTCCCAAATGCCTTCTATATTATAAACTGATGACAAATTACTCAAAAAAATTTTTTTTCAGAGGGCAAATTGAGCACTTTTTTGGGAAAAAATCCTGATGCTGACTCAGGGTTGGCAAGATAGATATTAAAGTGCTAAGATGTGTAGAATCATATTCCTCACCCAGAACTTACTTTTTACTTTTATGTCTTTCCTAACTCTAGAATATAAATCTTCTGGGCCAGCATAACATTCCTTCTTTTGTTTCTCTCATTTCTTCTTTCTCCTTTCTTATTTACATTGTCTGGCACAGATGAACTATAAGGCTCTACTTTGCCACTAGGTGACTCCAGTCTGAATTTCTTTTTTAATTTCATGCTTCAAATTATATAAAGTGAATGAGGATCTTGTTTCTTCTGTAAGCTTCAAATAATTTAGAGTTTACTTTAGGAAGAGATTTCTACAGTAATAAGGAAACAGCGAAATATGGGATAGAAGTTCAGAGGACTCGGTTGGTCTGGACCTTAGATCTGATAATATTTGTACTTGGTTCCCTCAACTTTCAGATAAGATTAAGAATAATATACACTGTATGGTGACTAACATAATAAAAAAATGTGCATTAGACTTCTTTGCAAATACTGCAGTTTGAGCTAATTTCAAAGTACTGGGCTAATTACATTCAGATTCCAAAGCTCCTGATTTCACCTTCCGATTGAATCATGGGGCTAAGGCACCTTGGGTAATGAGACTTCAAATTCAGCAGGATGGTTTCTCAGAGAAAACACCATGTTGAAAGCTGGCACGCATGGAGCCCACACCTTCCTCCCAACACAGGGAAAGCACAAACACCGAGCATGATGTCCTTACCTGGGTCAGGAGGCATACAGGCACAGGAAAACTGGGTATTGTAGCCCACTTTGAAGTTGGAGTTGATGGGGTAGTAGTCCGCTAGCTTGATCATCTTCTTGAAAGCATCGTAGATAAAAATGAAGCTAATCAGAGAAGAGAAGCCCTCTTCGGTGAAGCGAGTGAAGTACTGAACCAAGAAGCTGGCATCTGTGGCTACCAAAATGAGACACAAGAAGGCTGACCACAGGCCAATCCAAAGGCGAAACTCCAGGTAGTCAAAATTATGGTCCCTGGAAAGAAAGAAAGAAAGAAAGAAAGAAAGAAAGAAAGAAAGGTAATCAGACTGCTCCTCCCTGGAACACAAAGAATAATATAAAACTACCCAATAACTGCAGAATGATTGCTAAAAACACAAGATCACTTGTAGCCACTAGATATGAAGCTCAGTCTTGATTTCATCCAGAAAATAGTAAGCTTAAAGAGGTGGTCTAGTGATATCATCCTGCTACCATAAAGAAATAATCCCAGAAGTTTAAGAATGGCATATCAAAAGCAGTCCCAGCATTTATATGTAAATAACAACTTTCTCATTCAAAAACTCTGGTCCCTGCCTTTATGGAGTTAATAAAAGAAACAATTTGAAAGCGTCACGTTGGTAGCCAGTACACACTCAATAAATGTTTGTGAGCTTAACCAGTTAATGAAGACACTAAGCTAAATAAGGTCTCTGTCCCCACATCATTGCAATCATTGAGGGAGACAAAATGATGAACGTAATCACACCATAAAATAGTACATGATATCTAAAGGTTCCACAGAGTACCCCAGAGGAACAACTAATTCTGGCTGGAGGAGGACTAATGGAGATGCAGAAAAATCTCAAGGAATTTAAGGATAAATAGGATAAATGCACTGTAGTCAGATCAAGAAAGGCTGTCTTGCTGTGTTATAGCCAGATCCACTGCTTCTCATGAACTTTGCCCACAGACATGATGTCCTCCTGCTAAAGTTGTGTGTAAAGCATCTTGCGACCACCTTGTTTTTCATCTGTTCCTCTCCCACAGCAGTCTTAGAATAGGCTGCATCCATCAGAGGATGCCTTTTTTTTTTTTGAAGGCCTTTCCGTTTCTTATAAGTAAATTAGTTCACATCTAGGAAAAGATGGGTCAAGTGTTGACATTCTACCATTTCATATTGATTCTTCTAAAATTATCTGAAGATTACTTTATAGTATTTCTTTCTCATTATTCGCAATGAAAAAGCAAATAGTAGCAGTCATATTTCTTCTACGAGAAAAATAAATAAATCAAGGAGCATGCATGCTTGAAGCTTGACAGACTTGCTTTTAAACAATGAGTTTCTGATGGTGACATTTTTTAATACTTTCCTAAAGGCATGGTATCGATGCCTTCACCACCACCAACCCAGGCTGGGCCACCAAGAAGTTGTTGCTTGATTAAAGTCCTTACTGATATCCATGTTTGCCCTGCCCCAAGCCATTTTCCACATCACAGCCAAAATGATCTTTATAAATCTAAGTCAGATCCCCCCACCTCCATTTAAAACCTTTTGGTGGCTTCACACTGCTCTTAAAATAAAATGTGGATTCTCTAAACTAACACAATGTTTGGCATACAGGTTTCCAGTGAGAACTTGCTGGATGGAATTAAGGCATAACTATGGTTTAGGACTTGAGACAGTTACTGACATGACCTATAAGTATAAGCTATTACAGGGAACCAGGAGATCCTGAGTGAAAATTTTATAGAATATTAGAATTAAAAGGTCCTTAGATACTGAAATGGTTAATTTTATGTGTCAAGTTGACTGGATCATACAGTACCCAGATACTTGGTCAAACATTATTCTTGGTGTCTCTGTAAGGGTGGTTTTGATGAAATTAACATTTAACTTGGTAGACTTTGAGTAAAGCAGATAGCTTTTCATATGTGGATGAAACTCATCCAATTGAGTTCTTCAACCAAATACAGAAAACTACCTGCCAACCTCACGCAAGAAATTTTCTCCAGCAGATAGCCTTTGGGCTTTCTCCGGAACATGCCTCTTTCTGGTTCTATAGCAGACACCCTTTGAACTTGAACTGGAACATCAACTCTCCTGGGTCTCCAGCCTCCTGGCCCACCCTGCAGATTTTGGACCTGCTGGTCTCTATGATTGTGTGAGCCAATTCCATAACAATAAATCTCATTATCATATTGGTACTGTTTCTCTGGAGAATATTAATACAGATGCCAATTAGTCAAATACGTCTCGTTTTATAGATGAGGACACCACTAAGGCCAATGGAAGTTAAGCCATTTATCCAATGTCAAGGTTTTAATGGCAGAGCTGAGCCAGAAACCAAATTTCTGCCTTCCTGGATGACTCCTTTAAAAAATTACACCATCATTCCCTTACCTGGTGCGTATTTACAGTGGGCCTTAAGATCACTGCCCTTTGTAACCCTCTTTTCACCAAATCACATAAACTGGAAATACTACAAAGCAGCAGACTATTAACACTTGGGTAGAGAGTTATCTCCTACAGGTTTCCTGGAATCTCTCTGAAGACATCTTTTGCATTCCCTTTCCATCTGGAACCCCACTGCTTAATCCTATGCATGTCTTTGTGAGATAAGTAGACTACAGAAAAGCTAAATTCTAGGAATTTGAGGTAATTTACATTATCATACAATGAATCAAGTCTCAGTCAGAGCTAAGAAACAGTTTCATCACTTCTGAGCCAACAAACTTTTTTCATAAAATAAAAATTTTGAACAATTACCTAGTTTTGCTTCCCTAACAAGATGACAGGATAATCTTAATTTATTTTAAGAATGCTAATGGTTGTTTAGAGAATCTATGTTTACAGGACAGGATGAGAAACAAATCCAATAACTAGCTAATGGTTAGGAACACTCGGTTTGAGTACAAAGGAAAAAAATGCATGTATACACTTAAATCTTAGGATCTAAACGATATACCAAAATAGGGGCTCTACAATACTTAAATACTCCCAGAGTAGCTCCATAAGAATAACCCAAATAAAATCACTAAAACCCATGGAACTTCATTATAAAAGTGATGCGTTTACAGCAGCAAGAAGGAAGAGGAGTAAGACATGAGAAACTTTTTAGAACAAGTTGATCAACAGGAATGACTACACTAAAATGGCAATAGTACATCCAATAAGCTTATCAGTCCCTTTAGTGCCAAGTTTAAGTAGCAATTAAGTTATAAAAAGTAACAGGAAATGACAGTACAGACAAAAGGAACTATTGTGACTAAACGGGCTTACATCCTCTGATACCACTTGAGTTATAGTTTCTAAGGAGCATAAAACCAAGGTACAAATTGAAGAACTCATCTGAAACATGCTACAGAAATTAATGTTTAGTCTCTGACAGATATAAACTCCCTAAACTACATGAATAAATCCAGTAATATAATAGAAGAAAATAATCATTTGAAGTCCTCTAAGTAAAATGTTCAAAGACTAGAAGGGAAAAATTATTGAATGACCAAATGACAATTACACAAGTTAAACTCCAACTTTAATTATGAGGCTTGTACATAGCTTAGAACACAGGGTAAAACTTCTTGCAGATTCCTCACTCAAGAAAAAGAAAAGGTATCTAATTTTCCATTACTGGTGTATAAGGTGTAAAAACAGTGCAAAAGAGGCTCCAGAATTAGGAAAACAAAACTACAACTGGCATTTGGAAAGCTTGTAAGCTCGTGCCTTCGTTTTGCTACTAATTTTAAAAGGTGAAAGCACATCTCTCATATTCCTTTATGGTTCTCCGGTTTACAGGGCAAACATTAAAACCTGTATCCCATGTCAGGAGGAAACCAGTGAATCAGGTGGAATTTGCATTCGAGTCCACTGAAGCTACAAAACAAGGATTTACCCACTTCTCAAAAAATGGTAAAATATGTCGGGAAAAATCTGGGTAAGACAGACCGAACCAGTTTCTTTACCGAAGGACTTCTCAGATCCTTTAGTAAGCTAAAGTGTAAGGTGAATTACTGAGAGGGAGATAAAATATACAGCATTTTCTGTATAAAATCTGTAAATCCAGAAAATGGAGTTATTGGGATTACAGAAGCTTTTTGTCCAAGGAACACCTACAATGGGATTAGAAATTGAGGAAATACAGTTTGAGAAATAGTGATCTACACAAAAATAATCTGTATCTAGACACAATATTAGCCCTGTTGTTGTAATATTGAGGCAAATGATACAGCATTGTGAATAAAATAATAAGGTTTGCCAAATAAGCACCACATGCTACTCAGTGATGAATTTAAAGCACAGTTTCTTGAATGTTTCTTGTTGCTTTACAACTGTTTTCAAATAAATCACTTGGAACTATGTTTACATTACCAATTATGATGAAACAGAAGGGAAAGTGAGAAAGGAACTTGCTTAGTGAAAGGAAATAATCTCTATCCTACAATTATCTAAAGTAAACTGGGATACAAACATTTTCTGTGTATTAAGGCTCTGATCACATTGCATCCAATAAATCTTTCTGCAAAGGTTGCACATGTTTGTTCCTGTTTATAGAACATGCTTGTTTCATCTTCCCACAAAAGCTTTCTTGTCTCACACAATGTTTTCTCAAACATATAAAAACGGTTTGACTTTCTATAAACTGACACGAACAGAATTCTTTCCAATGTCCTGAGAATTATGACGGAGGAGGGATCTGTCGTGGTGAGCCAAGAAAATTCACATTATTTAAAATTTAGAACTTTAAATTTTCTTAAGATCCTTGCTGATGTCCTCAACCCAGCTTTCAAAACACAAATTTCAAATCCTCATTCCCTCCTCTGTCTTGGGATTGTTTTTGATAGCTCAGAGTACTAGCACTTAAGTCCATGAGGTATCATGTCGGTAATAAAATTTCCAATAACAAAATCTTAAAAATTGTGTAACAATAGAAGAATACAGAAATTCCAACAAGGAATGCCAGCAAGTCATATAAAATGCTTCAATCTACCTAAAGGATTGAGATCTGCTGGGAAAGGCAATTCTCTCTGTGAGGTATCAAGTTCATTAGAAAGAGGCCAGAAGACCCAATTTGATTTTGAATCTATTTGTGTGCTAATGTGGTCACTTGGATAATTCTCTTAACCTGATTTTCTCCTTCTTAAATTGATCCATCAATTTCAAAAAGAAAATGTGATAGCACAATTGTTATGTCCAATAAGAGTGTCTAGTGACTCTGTAAAAGAGGCAGAAAGTGAAGCAGGAGTTCAAATCCCAGCCCTACCTACAACAGATGATGGAGCCTTCAGCAATGCACTTACCTCTCCCTGCCTGCTTCCTCATCTATAAAACAGGGTACGGTCCGTCCCTCAGTACTGCTGCAGGACTCCAATGAGGGAGTACATCTAACACACTTAGGGTAATACTTGGTGCCTTGGTACATGATCAGAGCTCAACAAATGCTATTACTCAGCTGACTCTTGAAACGCATCTTTAGTTAAGCACACCGAGATGAAGGTTAGGAACAGTGGATCACTGGAGCAGCTAGTTTCTTTCATTAGAGTCACAGGACCTTGCACAAGACATTGCATTTCTCTAGTGTGAGTCAGGATCATGGCAGGAAACAGAGGGCATTCTCCAACGGGTTTGTGAAGAAAACATAATAAATTGGCTATTTACAGAGCTGTCAGTAACCGAGAATGGCAAGGTGCTCAGGGACTAGCAACATCGGGGGGCCATTTTTACCTCCTGGCTTGGAAAGGCCAGGGAAGGACTGGAGTCACCCGACGCTGGAGAGGCCTAGAACCAGGTCTGAGGAGGCACCTTACAGGGGTGATACTCAGGGGACAAAACCCTGCAAGACAGCAGTGTTAACCAGGGACAGGGAAGTGCAGGGAGGTAGATGCACACCCCGACTTCTCCCCCTCCCTGTCCTACAGATGCACTACCAAGCCCAAGACGAAGCCAGCAGGAAAAGGAGCCTTAGTGCTGCGGTCCACACTGGGGTCAGCCCCAGAGGCCCAAAGCAAGACTAGAAGGGCAGAGAATGATGATGAGGGCAAACAGAAAGGACATCACGTGGACCTCAGCTGGATCGAATGTAAAATGAGCGTTGGAATACCCCATCTTCAAAGGCCTTTCAACCTCCACATCTTAAAATTCCCACATTCTAATCGACCTAATTATGATTCTATGCTCAACCTAGACGATGAATGCTCTACAATTAAACAGTCCTAATTTATCATTAGATATGTATATACATACTTGCTGAAATTAAATAGAAGCCTCTCGAAAACTAGAACAGGCCCCGTGCTGCTCAAAATCGTGAGGGGCTGACCAGCGAACAGGCAAAAGATGGCTCCAGAGACAGCCGTGCCCAGGAAGCTCTCCAACACGCCCTAATGGAAAGAAAATAAAGCTGTTAAAAGAAACGTCTTTTTTCTTCCCATGCGTGATGTCACTAGGGAAATTGAGCACATGAACATGCTATTACAAGGGCCATAGCAAACGTAGCAAATAGACGTGAAGAAATAGATTCTTCCCAGTATGAACATCCCCATTAATTTCACCATACGATTTAGTCACCCCTCCCTACTCCAAGGGTCGCTGACCTACTCCAAAGAACTGTGGCGACGATATTGACTGGTGGCTGACTACAGAAAACAAAAGGGGACTCTGATCCACTCTAAAACTGCTACCTGAAGCTTCTGCATGTAAAAGCACACTATGCAACACCACCACGTGGGCAGGAGCGATTCAGGACTTCCGGGGTTACCTTCAGTCTTTGTTTCAGCCTGATTTTACCTTGCACATAGCAAGAACTTATAAGTAGTTACATTTTTTAAAAGATTTTATTTATTTATTTGACAGAGACAGAGAGAGATCACAAGTAGGCAGAGAGGCAGGCTGAGGGAGAGAGCGAAGGAGCCTCCCTACTGAGCAGGGAGCCTGATGCGGGGCTCGATCCCTGGACCCTGGGATCATGACCTGGGCTAAAGGCAGAGGCTCAACCCACTGAGCCATCCAGATGCCCCAAGTACTTACATTTTATACCCCAAAGCTATTTTTTCTAAAGGAAAGATTTGAGAGGGGAGCAACAGGGGCAAAAAAAAAAAAAAAAAAGTAATCCCAAATAAAAAAAAAAAAAAAAAAAAATATATATATACATATATATATATATATATATATATATATATATATATATATAAAATTACCTATTGCTTGTCCAATGTAAACTTATAGAAGAGCTTTAATTCATTTTAGAGGAAATACATGGGTAGGGACACAAATAACTAAATCTTTGTGGCCATACCTCCCTGTAGTTATCCCTCTGGAAACTCAACCCATTGTTTTCCTTTAGCCAAACAAGAACAAGGAAACATGAACCATGAAGCATCATTGAATTAAAAGATTATCCTGTCATCTTATTGTAAGTTATTACTTAATCATGTCATTTGGGACCAATGCCTCAGATGACAACAAACTAGCTCAAATCCTCTACTTTTCATCAGTTCAATTTTAGTTAGAAAAGCACATGTTTATTTGTGAGAGGATCCTCTTCTAAACTTGAAATAGTATTCTATCAAGGGATGACTTTTTAAATATAAAAAGATGACAGAGTCCCTTTATTCATACATAAGGGTATACATTTAAACCATAAAACTTGTAAGATAAACATTTTTCAAATGAGTAAATATTCTATAGCTTTAAAAGACATATATATATATATATATATATATATATATATATATATATATATGTAATGGTAGGTTAATTTATATAATAGAGCCAAATTATGTGATCTCTATATGTGTATACTAAAACAAAATGGTGCCAGGAATATCTTCCTCTCCAACTGAACAATAAGTTACCTGTTCATAGAAATATGATTTATGTTTACATAAAACAAGTCATCTCTTAATCTAAACCACCCTCTGTTTGGAGCAGAATGGATTTCTGGGTAATCTGAGACACCACTCAGTTATTCCCTGCCCCCGCCCCACCAAAGAGTTAACCTGTTAGTCAACATTCACTCTCCACAGCCCTGAAACTTCTCCAGCAACTTTTACTCACTTATCATAAAATATAATGAAATGATTACACAGTCATTGTTTTTTAAAATCAAGTTACAGTTACGGAATAAATAAGTCACGGAAATAAAAGGCACAGCATAGGAAATATACTCAATGATACCGTAACAGCATCGTATTTTGACCGATGGTAGCTACAAATTGTGGTGAACACAGCATAACATATAAAGAAGTTGAATCACTATGTTCTCTCTACACCTAAAACTAACATAACACTGTATGTTGGCCAAATTCAAATTTTAAAAATGTTTAAGTAAAAAAAGTTTAAATATCAAAATGGAAAAAAAAATCCACTTACAGAACTTAAATACACTAAGTGCTAGACCTACTTAAAAGCCATCCTAAGAGACGTTTATTACTATGATTACTCAAAATATTTTTTTCCCATTGCTTCAGAGCCAGCAATATCCTCTTTAAAATGGCACTGGCAATGGCACACCCTCCTCTTTGAAGGGTAGAGTTCAATTCAGAAAGCAGGTAAGAATCCTTTAGAATAGCACTAGATCATAATAATGGGGTTGGGGTGTGGAAAGGACAAAAAAAAAAAAGGTTGACAAATAAGACTGGCTTCTCACACTGTGAGCACCCACATTCTGAAACACTTCAGAACCATTTCTGTCTAAGAAGTCTAGGCTAAAAGCCTGGCAGGAGGACACCCAGTTTCCATGGATGTGAGCTCCACGGCATGACTGAAGAATGCCGTCTCATTACTTTACAGCCATGCCATACATAATCAGGGGATCCACCTCGTTCTTCTTCAGAAGGACAGAATGAAGAATAACAAGCAAGGCTGGCAGAACCAGGTCTCATTTATGCAGAGAAGAGACTCCCTTATGCCCAACAAATAGTTCTGACCGCTTACCTGTGAAGACATTGAGATTCAGAAGAGTTAAATGGTATGAACAAATCCATATTCAGTGTGGCACAAGTGTATGGAGTATGGGTACCTACCCAACCACAACCCCACCCACATTAAGGCTAGAAAGTGTATCCACAGCAAGGCTAGAAGGTGTGCCCTCCGCGGGGATTTTCGAGGACATGCAGTGTTTCACCTTCTGTGCATTCACACTGAGGGTTTTGTTTTTTTTTTAATGTCTTTTAATTTTTCTTTCTCCTAACTTACTTTAGCATGCATAACATGAAAGGGTAGGAGTGGAATGTTCCATGTGGCAGGACAAGCCATATTCTGGGCATAGAGGACAGGCAAAGTGACTGCATCATTCTTTATCAAGCACGGGAAAGTACCTATTTCCCATGGCTACTGCAGGATCAAAATACAGTACAGCCTGGGTGTAAGAAAGAACATGAAGGAAGAAAAAAGAAAGGCGGGATTCAGAATTCTCTACTTGAAAAAAAAAAAAAAGAATTCTGTACTTGATTTGACATTGCTATTAATCTCTCTGAGGGCAAGCACAGGGTCTCCGGGGGCCTTCCTGTTTTTCTTCCTCCTATGAGGCTTTGCACTATCCTCCCATGTGCTCTGTAAGCATGAAGGAAATCTCAAGGAATTGAAGAAGAAATACACAAATCACACCCTAGGTTCCACTTAATCGAAGGTCAACAGCCGTTGTTGCTCACTCAGTAAAGATAACAATGAATTTCTTCCAAAAAATGGCTTTGATTTATGGAAACCATGTGACTGTTAAAAGGCAGATTATTTTTCTTTCAGTACTTGATCCTTTGGTAAGTGCTACAGTTTCCATTCTGTTGCTGACAATTTTGAAACAGAGACAGGTGATTTATTATATACACTGCACTGGAAACTTGCTTAAACTTAGAGATACTTGCAGCCATTCTGAGAAAGGAACTATTTTCACCACGTTTTGATATGTTACTCTTGATAATACAGAAATTTTAAAAATAATCTCAGGCACTGAATAACTCCAGTTCAACTCACTAGAATTTGAAGCAATTTAGAAGGTGAACTATCAGAAACCCCTTTTCTGATTTATTATATTCAGGGTTCATGAAGATTAAAAAAGGAAAATAATATGTAGGTGTGTGTATTTTTAATTGCTGCAACTCATAGAGACACTTTTAACCCTGATTTCTCCCTGCCTCTATTATTTTTCATTCAGTTCACGAGACTGCGTGTGGCTGAGCTCTGAGGTGTGGCGGAATCAGGCAGCACAAAGTGTCCCAGCTCCATTTTGCTTAGGCTTTCATCTCCTTCCATTTCTGATGAAGAATCCCCCGCCGCTGAGGAGCAGAATGAGCAAAGAACCAGCAGTCAGGAAATCTGGAGTCTAGACTTTGTTCTGTCACCAAAGAGCTGGCGATCTTGGAATATCACTTAAAGTTTGTCGATTCTAGTTTCTTCATGTAGGAAACACGGGGTTGACACAGTTTAACAAGGGACTCTGAAGTCAAAAAACATCTCAAAGTGAGACTAGGCTCTACCATTTACTCAATCAATGACTTTAAGATATAACAGTTGTTATACATATTAGATAATACATGTAAAATGTTTAGCATAGTCTTTAATATATAATACATTTTTTATGAACAGTAACACAAACATAAGGTATTTGTTTAGATAGAAGAGAGAAAGCTGATTTCCAACATCTGCTCAAGGTGGCTCGGCATAAACAGAACATCCTGGAGTCGGGGATATCTGAATTAAATCCCAGGTCCACCAGTCACCAACCTCTCCACAACCTAATTCTCTCTTCTGTAAATCAATTGCTATTTCACAGGCAAATTATGTGGACTAAGAAAGACAATCATAGATAAAGAGCTAAGAATAGAGATACAATAAAACATGGGTTTTCTTTCCTTCTCTAGTTCTCATCCCCTTCTTTTCCCAGCCTGCCTCTATTATTCCTCTTTTCATCAAAAGAGGGAAAAGATGGAGAAAGTCAAAAGGAGTGACATGAAAGGAAAAAAATGAAGACTAGTCCTCAGAAGAAATGGGGGGACCTCTTTAAATCTTCAATATTTCCCCAAACAAATCCTAAATCAACAGAAGCCTTCAGGAACAACACTACAGCCATTGAAAGTTGCTTCTTTTCATTCCTTGTGTTACTAAACACATGGAATTAGCTATAATAAGACAGAATAGTTTGTTTTACTTTACAGCCATGAAGTCAAAACCCACATCCCAAACAATTTATGAACATCTTTCTGCTTCTATCAGGATTTGAAGTTAAACCAAAGATGGTCCTTATTTTACAAAACAGCCAAGAAAATCAGCACAAGTCCATGATAGAAAAATCAAGCATAAAAGAAGTTGGACCATAAGAACAAGATTCCTAAAAACAAAACAAAACAAAATTCAACCCTAATTGGTAACACCAGCATTTTAGGTC